TTGGAAAAGAGTGAAGCACTTTCGTTTCTCTTCTCTCGCGCAATAAAAAAAATCTCAACGGACATTATGCGGTGGATCCAACGAGCGTTTTCTTCACAGCCGACGAGATAAGGAGTATTTCGAGAAGAATTAAAGACATCAAGAAAGGCACGAAAGGATCAAAATCGTCCTGTCAAAATACAGAAAGAGATAAAGGGACATGCTACCAAAAACAGAAACGGATTGGTCTTCGTGCGAGCAACAAAACGTCCTCAACGGTGTGATGACGAAACGATATTTCATGGACGTCGTGTGCACATTAGTCGATAAAGAGTCGTACGTGGGTCAAGACGATAGAGAAACAGACAAAGCAATTGAACAAATGCTGTGATAGATACTGGACGCTATCTAAAGCTAGACCGACAGTGTCTGTCCCGATCGTTTACGGGTAGTAAACGATGTGATAGCATTTTAAAGAGAGAATGACAGACAATACACACAATACTTTCCCGCATTCAAGTTCAGCGGATCCAGAAAATACGCTGCGATCTCCAGAGCTATAGAGACCCTAGCCAATGAGTGTGAGCCGCATGCCGGTACGCCACAGTATCGTCATACGGCCATCAGGGGACACTGCAGCTACGTCAAGGATAATCACGGAAGCTTCGAACCTTTTATGAACACCCATATTGCCCTTACTGGTTAACGAAACCATAACGAATATATGGTTCAACAGGCTATTTTTATCGAATACGCAAAGGGAAGTCGCTACCGATAACGACATCAGATCAACTGGATTTTTATCATTCTTAAAGGACGTTGAACGAGAAGCAGATAAGACAAAGGTTGTGGATGTGTTGAGAAAGTTCTCAAACGTATGCGTTCCTCTCAGAAGGAATAGATTGCCCTTTCCCTGCGAGAGAACGACCGACCAATCAAGCGACAAAAAAATACCGCTGTCCGCCGACAACCGTTATGACGAGTCGCAGCCGTTAAGAGACGTACAGTGTATACAATCTCTATCGAAAGGAACAGTTAACGTTAAGAGTCTCTCGTCTCACCGTACTCCGAAAATATCGGGTGGATATCGCAGTCGGTAAATATGGCGCTGACGATACCGTCAATGAGACCGATAGTAATAGCAATACCAGTAGACGCCTAGCGAATATAGATGCCGGTCAATATCTACAGTATTTTACGCCGATTGCAAGGATCTATTCGCCTAAAACAGTGTTAATAAAATAACTTTTCGCCTACTTTCTGTTTCTGTTCCGTCTTCTCTTGTGTATGTTACTCGCCAATCTTATCTTGTTCCCCTTGTATATCCTCTCGGCTATTTCCTTTCCATATACTATCGTCATGATCTTATATCTTATGTGTCTGGTGCATTTGATTTTGGTGTTATCTTTGGTGGCATTGTCTCGGATGCTGTTCCTGGCCTGTTTGGTATCAACATTCGAACTCTCCTTCTCCTCGTATCGAAGAAATGACGGACATAGACTCCAGACGTATCCGCGTTGGGTTAGTACTCTAGCTGAATTCTTTAAGATCAGCTTTAACAATTCAGAGCACGACTTTCTCTTTTTCTGTTCGGATTTTTTCTTTTTGTACATCCTATATATATTTAATGTGTCGTTAAAGAGTTGTACAAAGTCATTCATGTGCACTACACCGATAATGTGCTCACGCGAATTGCCAATGTAAGACTGGCAAGACACCCCACTCGTGAAGAAGGCGTTGTCTTTGATCGATTCTTTTTCTGCCGTACTCACATGTCGTCTTTTGGTGTCGCGTAGATTGATTTGCATGTGAATGTGTTTTGCTCTGTATAAAAAGAAATTCTCTATCTTAGAGCAATTACCGGGTATAATCCTCAGGTTTTCATACTTTCCGCAAATAGCGATAAAGTATTTTAGGATGGTTATATTTCTGCGGTCATTTCCTTGACACCTATACAGCAGTGTACACGGCCTGGACATGGCGTCTTTGAAAGTGTTGGAATAGGACATATCGACTAAACTATAGTCGAGCATTACTCGATAGATGGGATATGCTATAATAAAGTTGTTGTTTTTTTTAACCCCTTCTTGTAATTTCTGTCTAGTCCCATGTGACATTTGGCGAAAGATGACGAACAGGTTGCAATAAACCGCTCCCGTGATGATGGTGTCGTTCGTGCTCGAATGAATCACACTCCTCTTCAGATGCTGTTTTTCCCTCGGGGAAGGTCTATACACTTGCTCGAAATTCGACGGTGTGATGAGGAGTGCGATGATGGATTTTATGAAGCTAACATCTTCTGCGTTACTAGGAGACATAAAACAGGCACTAGTCTTGTATTGATAAAGATCACCAAAGAAGGAACGTCCATCGTTATGGAACATATCGTCTATCGATGGATATGCAGTGTCCCACCCGTTATGTTTGTCTACGTTAGATATTTTCTTCTTTATCCTTTCATCATCGAGCTTGCATCCCATCGCACTGACACCTCCCTGTGATATCATCTGATAAAAGAAGGGTACTAGTAATTCACGTAGCATAGATCTGAGTTTCTCGACAGTGTCGACTAGATCACCGTCTTTTATAAAGCTGTCAAATACCGTGTTCTTGGTAAAAAACCTGAAGATGTTATACCTTCTGCTATCATCCGACCAATAATTCACATCATCGTCTGAAACAAACACATTTTTACCCGATTGTCTATCGCAAAAGCAATTCGGATAATGATAATTTAGGTGTCTCGGGCAGGCGGAAAAGATGTCCACGTTCATTTTTTCGGCGTATTGTCTTCGCTGTTCGTGTAGGTCTATTGCCTTTGGTATTTCGGCCGTATTATTCCACCCTACTGTGATGGGGATTTTAAGATAATCGAGAAAATTATCCGACACGATCGGGGGCTGAAACCGAATACTAACGCCTGAGGATTCCTCGTTATTATCGTCGTCACCGCCATCTCCTTTTTCATCCTCTTCCTCCTCCTCCTCCTCCTCATCATCATCATCATCATCATCATCATCATCATCATCATCATCATCATTATCATCATCAATCGAATTATTATTATCATTATCAGTATTATCACCAATATTATTATAATTATTACTGTAGCTGCTATCTTTATCCCAACCAGGAGCAGCAGCAGTATTCTCCTCCTCCTCATCCTCACCACATCTTATATCTAGGTCTTCCGTTGCTGTATCTATTACCAGCTCTGTTTCTGCATTTTTTTCTATATCATCCTCGTTGCTGTTAGCATGACTGTCGTTACCGTTATTTCCTAGACCGTCCCTGTCATCAATTTTTTTTTTTTTTGAGAGGGGCTGAATGGAGAAGGACTCTATGTCGAGCGTCCGCTTGATGAGAGGGTCGTTATTAACTGGAGCGTCTTGATTAATCACATTCTCCAGCAACGACCCTAGGATATCTTGGGGTTGTTGTTGTAGAGGGACTTGTTCGTTCACTTTACGATTTTCCTGTTCCTGCTGATCTCGCTGTTGCATTGCCAAAATATCCGCGTTCAGTGCATCGAGATCGAGATCTGTATAATCGTGGATGACTGTGTAGAGATCCTGTCCCTGTTGTTGCTTTCCCTGTATACTGTGTTCTTGCTCCTGTACCATTTGGTGTTGGTGCTCTTGTTGTGGTTCCTGCGACGCTGTGAACGCTAGATGCTGTTCCTGTCCCTGTTGTTGCTTTCCCTGTATACTGTGTTCTTGCTCCTGTACCATTTGGTGTTGGTGCTCTTGTTGTGGTTCCTGCGACGCTGTGAACGCTAGATGCTGTTCCTGTCCCTGTTGTTGCTTTCCCTGTATACTGTGTTCTTGCTCCTGTACCATTTGGTGTTGGTGCTCTTGTTGTGGTTCCTGCGACGCTGTGAACGCTAGATGCTGTTGCTGTCCCCGTATACTGTGTTCTTGCTCCTGTACCATTTGGTGTTGGTGCTCTTGTTGTGGTTCCTGCAACGCTGTGAACGCTAGATGCTGTTGCTGTCTGTGTTGCTGTCCCTGTATACTGTGTTCTTGCTCCTGTTGTTGGATACATCGCTGTTGTGTGTGTTGCTGCCTTTGTGCTTGTTCCTCGTTCTGTAACGGCAGGGCGGGTTGACGTTGCTGCTGCGTTACTTGGTGATGGTACTGGGGCTGTAGGTGCTGCTGATGGCCCACGTACTGTTGTTGCCGTGGTGTATGTTCTGGCGCATGCTGCTGCTGTGTGTGTTGCTGCCTTTGTGCTTGTTCCTCGTTCTGTAACGGCAGGGCGGGTTGACGTTGCTGCTGCGTTACTTGGTGATGGTACTGGGGCTGTAGGTGCTGCTGATGGCCCACGTACTGTTGTTGCCGTGGTGTATGTTCTGGCGCATGCTGCTGCTGTGTGTGTTGCTGCCTTTGTGCTTGTTCCTCGTTCTGTAACGGCAGGGCGGGTTGACGTTGCTGCTGCGTTACTTGGTGATGGTACTGGGGCTGTAGGTGCTGCTGATGGCCCACGTACTGTTGTTGCCGTGGTGTATGTTCTGGCGCATGCTGCTGCTGTGTGTGTTGCTGCCTTTGTGCTTGTTCCTCGTTCTGTAACGGCAGGGCGGGTTGACGTTGCTGCTGATGGCCCACGTACTGTTGTTGCCGTGGTGTATGTTCTGGCGCATGCTGCTGCTGTGTGTGTTGCTGCCTTTGTGCTTGTTCCTCGTTCTGTAACGGCAGGGCGGGTTGACGTTGCTGCTGATGGCCCACGTACTGTTGTTGCCGTGGTGTATGTTCTGGCGCATGCTGCTGCTGTGTGTGTTGCTGCCTTTGTGCTTGTTCCTCGTTCTGTAACGGCAGGGCGGGTTGACGTTGCTGCTGCGTTACTTGGTGATGGTACTGGGGCTGTAGGTGCTGCTGATGGCCCACGTACTGTTGTTGCCGTGGTGTATGTTCTGGCGCATGCTGCTGCTGTGTGTGTTGCTGTGTGTGTTGCTGTTGTTGTTGCAAGTCTTTATTAGAGATAGGTTGAGGTTTATTAGAGATAGGTTGAGGTTGATAGTGGTTATGACGATGGTGGTGATCTGGATAGTGTTGAGGTTGATGTTGTTGCTGGCGGTGATGGTGGTGATCTGGATAGTGTTGAGGTTGATAATGGTTATGACGATGGTGGTGATCTGGATAGTGTTGAGGTTGATGTTGTTGCAGGCGGTGATGGTGGTGATCTGGATAGTGTTGAGGTTGAGGTTGTTGCTGGCGGTGATGGTGGTGATCTGGATAGTGTTGAGGTTGAGGTTGTTGCTGGCGGTGATGGTGGTGATCTGGATAGTGTTGAGGTTGATGTTGTTGCTGGCGGTGATGGTGGCGATCTGGACAGTGTTGAGGTTGATGTTGTTGCTGCTGTATTATGTGTGGAGGTTGATGTTGTTGCTGTTGTATTACGTGTGGTTGGCGTTCTTCTTGTAAATTTACGATAGGTTGTTGCTGCTGATAAAAGTGATTATTATATTCTGGGCGTTGTTGTGGTTGATGTTGTTGTTGTGTCGCATGTTGCGGATTTTGTTGAATCTGATTATGGTGATGGGGCGCTAGTTGCTGTTGTGTTGGTTCTTGTTGAGGTGACTGGTGAGGTGCTTCTTGCTCTTGCTGCTGCTGCTGCTGCTGTTGTTGAGACGATGGCTGTTGTTGGTATTGTTGTTGAGGCGGCGGTGGCGGTTGTTGTTGAGGCGGCGGTGGCGGTGGCGGTTGTTGTTGAGGCGGCGGTGGCGGTGGCGGTTGTTGTTGAGGCGGCGGTGGCGGTGGCGGTTGTTGTTGAGGCGGCGGTGGCGGTGGCGGTTGTTGTTGAGGCGGCGGTGGCGGTGGCGGTTGTTGTTGAGGTGGTGTTTGAGCTGATTTTTTTCGCCGATTGTGTGCAAGGCTCTGCAAGAACACAATCGGCGAAAAAAATCAGCTCAAACACCACCTCAACAACACCGCCACCGCCACCGCCGCCTCAACACAACCGCCACCGCCACCGCCGCCTCAACAACAACCGCCACCGCCACCGCCGCCTCAACAACAACCGCCACCGCCACCGCCGCCCTCAACAACAACCGCCACCGCCCGCCTCAACAACAATACCAACAACAGCCATCGTCTCAACAACAGCAGCAGCAGCAGCAGCAAGAGCAAGAAGCACCTCACCAGTCACCTCAACAAGAACCAACACAACAGCAACTAGCGCCCCATCACCATAATCAGATTCAACAAAATCCGCAACATGCGACACAACAACAACATCAACCACAACAACGCCCAGAATATAATAATCACTTTTATCAGCAGCAACAACCTATCGTAAATTTACAAGAAGAACGCCAACCACACGTAATACAACAGCAACAACATCAACCTCCACACATAATACAGCAGCAACAACATCAACCTCAACACTGTCCAGATCGCCACCATCACCGCCAGCAACAACATCAACCTCAACACTATCCAGATCACCACCATCACCGCCAGCAACAACCTCAACCTCAACACTATCCAGATCACCACCATCACCGCCAGCAACAACCTCAACCTCAACACTATCCAGATCACCACCATCACCGCCTGCAACAACATCAACCTCAACACTATCCAGATCACCACCATCGTCATAACCATTATCAACCTCAACACTATCCAGATCACCACCATCACCGCCAGCAACAACATCAACCTCAACACTATCCAGATCACCACCATCGTCATAACCACTATCAACCTCAACCTATCTCTAATAAACCTCAACCTATCTCTAATAAAGACTTGCAACAACAACAGCAACACACACAGCAACACACACAGCAGCAGCATGCGCCAGAACATACACCACGGCAACAACAGTACGTGGGCCATCAGCAGCACCTACAGCCCCAGTACCATCACCAAGTAACGCAGCAGCAACGTCAACCCGCCCTGCCGTTACAGAACGAGGAACAAGCACAAAGGCAGCAACACACACAGCAGCAGCATGCGCCAGAACATACACCACGGCAACAACAGTACGTGGGCCATCAGCAGCAACGTCAACCCGCCCTGCCGTTACAGAACGAGGAACAAGCACAAAGGCAGCAACACACACAGCAGCAGCATGCGCCAGAACATACACCACGGCAACAACAGTACGTGGGCCATCAGCAGCAACGTCAACCCGCCCTGCCGTTACAGAACGAGGAACAAGCACAAAGGCAGCAACACACACAGCAGCAGCATGCGCCAGAACATACACCACGGCAACAACAGTACGTGGGCCATCAGCAGCACCTACAGCCCCAGTACCATCACCAAGTAACGCAGCAGCAACGTCAACCCGCCCTGCCGTTACAGAACGAGGAACAAGCACAAAGGCAGCAACACACACAGCAGCAGCATGCGCCAGAACATACACCACGGCAACAACAGTACGTGGGCCATCAGCAGCACCTACAGCCCCAGTACCATCACCAAGTAACGCAGCAGCAACGTCAACCCGCCCTGCCGTTACAGAACGAGGAACAAGCACAAAGGCAGCAACACACACAGCAGCAGCATGCGCCAGAACATACACCACGGCAACAACAGTACGTGGGCCATCAGCAGCACCTACAGCCCAGTACCATCACCAAGTAACGCAGCAGCAACGTCAACCCGCCCTGCCGTTACAGAACGAGGAACAAGCACAAAGGCAGCAACACACACAACAGCGATGTATCCAACAACAGGAGCAAGAACACAGTATACAGGGACAGCAACACAGACAGCAACAGCATCTAGCGTTCACAGCGTTGCAGGAACCACAACAAGAGCACCAACACCAAATGGTACAGGAGCAAGAACACAGTATACAGGGACAGAACAGCATCTAGCGTTCACAGCGTCGCAGGAACCACAACAAGAGCACCAACACCAAATGGTACAGGAGCAAGAACACAGTATACAGGGAAAGCAACAACAGGGACAGGAACAGCATCTAGCGTTCACACAGCGTCGCAGGAACCACAACAAGAGCACCAACACCAAAGGGTACAGGAGCAAGAACACAGTATACAGGGAAAGCAACAACAGGGACAGGAACAGCATCTAGCGGTCACAGCGTCGCAGGAACCACAACAAGAGCACCAACACCAATGGTACAGGAGCAAGAACACAGTATACAGGGAAAGCAACAACAGGGACAGGATCTCTACACAGTCATCCACGATTATACAGATCTCGATCTCGATGCACTGAACGCGGATATTTTGGCAATGCAACAGCGAGATCAGCAGGAACAGGAAAATCGTAAAGTGAACGAACAAGTCCCTCTACAACAACAACCCCAAGATATCCTAGGGTCGTTGCTGGAGAATGTGATTAATCAAGACGCTCCAGTTAATAACGACCCTCTCATCAAGCGGACGCTCGACATAGAGTCCTTCTCCATTCAGCCCCTCTCAAAAAAAAAAAAAAATTGATGACAGGGACGGTCTAGGAAATAACGGTAACGACAGTCATGCTAACAGCAACGAGGATGATATAGAAAAAAATGCAGAAACAGAGCTGGTAATAGATACAGCAACGGAAGACCTAGATATAAGATGTGGTGAGGATGAGGAGGAGGAGAATACTGCTGCTGCTTCCTGGTTGGGATAAAGATAGCAGCTACAGTAATAATTATAATATATTGGTGATAATACTGATAATGATAATAATAATTCGATTGATGATGATAAGGATGATGATGATGATGATGATGATGATGATGATGATGATGATGATGATGAGGAGGAGAGAGGAGGGAAGAGGATAAAAAGGAGATGGCGGTGACGACGATAATAACGAGGAATCCTCAGGCGTTAGTATTCGGTTTCAGTCCCCGATCGTGTCGGATAATTTTCTCGATTATCTTAAAATCCCCATCACAGTAGGGTGGAATAATACGGCCGAAATACCAAAGGCAATAGACCTACACGAACAGCGAAGACAATACGCCGAAAAAATGAACGTGGACATCTTTTCCGCCTGCCCGAGACACCTAAATTATCATTATCCGAATTGCTTTTGCGATAGACAATCGGGTAAAAATGTGTTTGTTTCAGACGATGATGTGAATTATTGGTCGGATGATAGCAGAAGGTATAACATCTTTAGGTTTTTTACCAAGAACACGGTATTTGACAGCTTTATAAAAGACGGTGATCTAGTCGACACTGTCGAGAAACTCAGATCTATGCTACGTGAATTACTAGTACCCTTCTTTTATCAGATGATATCACAGGGAGGTGTCAGTGCGATGGGATGCAAGCTCGATGATGAAAGGATAAAGAAGAAAATATCTAACGTAGACAAACATAACGGGTGGGACACTGCATATCCATCGATAGACGATATGTTCCATAACGATGGACGTTCCTTCTTTGGTGATCTTTATCAATACAAGACTAGTGCCTGTTTTATGTCTCCTAGTAACGCAGAAGATGTTAGCTTCATAAAATCCATCATCGCACTCCTCATCACACCGTCGAATTCGAGCAAGTGTATAGAATTATCATCTCTCTCCAGCGCTCTAAAGTAGTCTGTGGCGATGCTATTATTTCCTGAGAAGGTCTGTACCTCTGCGTTCTCGGACGATACGATACTGTTGGAGCTGACGATGTTGTAAAAGTCATCACCGACAAAAGCGTATGTCGCGAGAGAAAAGAAGACCAGACCGAAAAGCCGGAACGCCGACATGTTGATATATTCTATGCAAGCGTTCTCTCCCTCCTTCAGCTCTCATGAAGTAAAGAGTCGAGTCCTAGTTTTCAGGATATGTGCATGTTATGGATCCCCGGCCGAGAGCTCCATATATCTTTTCCGTTTCTTTTATCACGATATTATTATTATGGTCTCTCGGCCGAATGTTTCGCGTATCGTTCCCTTTTCTTAATATTTTTACAATCCATATGCTGACTCTTAATATCAACACTACCATTATAGATGTTAATCTTCCATACGAGGTTTGGTTTCAGTTTGTTTAGGATTGCGATTCAGTGATTTCAGCTTGTGTAAGATTAGGAGTCAAGATAAATAATTGAATTAAACCAGTTATATTTATAAATATTTGCATATTGCATGTTGTTAGGACTATTGCAGGATTTGTTGTTTTACAATAAGATACCTACATATATATATACATATACACACCTATATGCATATATCACACTAAGAATATACCTATATATATATATATATCACACTGGTATATCGTCATCATTTTCATCATCATCATCATCTTCATTATCATCTTCATCATCGACGTCGCTGGTCTGCAGTTGCGATTCATCATTGCATGGGATGAACATCCGTCCACCGCCCACTCTCGGATCAGTCAGCCTTCGACCGGCATCACATGTTAGGGGAGAAAAAAAAATTGACATCATAGGATATACCATTTCGTAATAATATCTGTGAGGAAGAATTATATAAATCTTTTATTTTTTCCCTAAATATTATTATAATTTAACTTTTCCTTAAATATTATAAGATGATTAAATACAAGGCACATCATCTCTAGAATATTAAACATAAATCACATCACACGACGAGTACAAGTGTATGAATTCGTTAACGTTACAAATCCTCAGAGATAGACATGTCTTCAGTATATCGTTCACAATCATTACGTGACTGTCGTACTCGTAAGCGCCTCGCAGTTGTCGTGGACGACGTCGTCGTCCCCATCAGCGTCATCTATGGATTATTAAACATAAATCACATGACAGTTTCTGCAAATACAAGTATGTTAATCCGTTGACCTTACAGTTCCTCAAAGATAGACAGACATGTCTTCATTATATCGTTCACGATCATTACGTGGCTGTCGTACTCGTAAGCGCCTCGCAGTTGTCGTGGACGTCGTCGTCGTCCCCATCAACGCCACCTGTGGAATAATAAGATACACTATTTCACTATGACATAAGCCACATGATAGTTTCTACATGTACGATGTGTGAGTCTCATGACAGTTACTATAAATACAAGTACATGTATTTATTAGCGTTACGGCTCTTCAAAGAGTCAATAACAACGTCTGTGGATGTGGAACGAAACCAAAATACTTGTTATGCGTCTCATCTGTCGCATGCCATGCTATACAATATGTGTTATAGCAGGACTTACCTAGAACAATGGAATCGTCCTCCTCAGCATCTTGGAACCGTCCTCTTCAGTAACTACTAACAGTCGCCTGTACGCGATACGGTGTCTGTGTTGTATTGTGTTTAACTGCGGCATCCCCACTATCTAATCGGCTTAGCACTTGCTGGTGTTATTGTCGCCTACTTTCTGTTTCTGTTCCGTCTTCTCTTGTGTATGTTACTCGCCAATCTTATCTTGTTCCCCTTGTATATCCTCTCGGCTATTTCCTTTCCATATACTATCGTCATGATCTTATATCTTATGTGTCTGGTGCATTTGATTTTGGTGTTATCTTTGGTGGCATTGTCTCGGATGCTGTTCCTGGCCTGTTTGGTATCAACATTCGAACTCTCCTTCTCCTCGTATCGAAGAAATGACGGACATAGACTCCAGACGTATCCGCGTTGGGTTAGTACTCTAGCTGAATTCTTTAAGATCAGCTTTAACAATTCAGAGCACGACTTTCTCTTTTTCTGTTCGGATTTTTTCTTTTTGTACATCCTATATATATTTAATGTGTCGTTAAAGAGTTGTACAAAGTCATTCATGTGCACTACACCGATAATGTGCTCACGCGAATTGCCAATGTAAGACTGGCAAGACACCCCACTCGTGAAGAAGGCGTTGTCTTTGATCGATTCTTTTTCTGCCGTACTCACATGTCGTCTTTTGGTGTCGCGTAGATTGATTTGCATGTGAATGTGTTTTGCTCTGTATAAAAAGAAATTCTCTATCTTAGAGCAATTACCGGGTATAATCCTCAGGTTTTCATACTTTCCGCAAATAGCGATAAAGTATTTTAGGATGGTTATATTTCTGCGGTCATTTCCTTGACACCTATACAGCAGTGTACACGGCCTGGACATGGCGTCTTTGAAAGTGTTGGAATAGGACATATCGACTAA